CCATCAGTAAATCCCTGAGTTCCCTGCTTTTGCAATTGCCCTCCTCTAGCTTCCCAGCACCAAGGGGATTTATAAGAAAGACAGAGATATTTTTTACTGGGGCATGTAGTTTTGTGTAGTAGCTTTCTGTTCCTTTTTGCTTCTTAGTGGTTTTGTCACTGCTCTGTTCCTTAGTGTTCCTGTGTCCCTGTTCTTAGTGTCCCTGCCCCGCGGGTCGCCCACGGGCCCCAGTCCATATACAGGTACCTGCTTTATGAATGATTTGTAGGTCACAATCCTGTCTCGGGTATCCTCAGCTGGGTGCAGTTCACCCATGGGCAACGGTCCTCTCAGGGGCTGCAAAAAAAGAAAAGCCTGTATTTTTATACAGTAGCTTAGAAAAGTGTGCTTTCCTTCTAGAAAGTTGCTGTGCTTAAATTTAATTTTCAGGTTAAAATATGATGCATACAATGCCTGTATTTTTCTTTTTGAACTGTAAATCTTGACTGTGAAGTTGCTAGTCTTGGAAAAAGATAAAAGGCAACTACAATCTCCTTTTGGAATGAAAGATTAAGTATAAAATCAGTTATATATATAAATTAATATAGAAATTAAGTATAAAATCAGTTTCATACTTAACTATAATTGAGAGCAGAATCTTAGGTTCATAGTTTTTTGTTTAATTAAAATTTCTGTTCATCTTAAATATGTTCACTTATAGTAATAAAAGTCTGAATAGACCTGTAAAGTAGAAAAAAGTTAAGTAGAAACCTTGCTGAATGTTGTGAGAGTTACAGTACGCTTGTATTATTAAGGAAATTATTGTTTTTGCGGTGTGGAGCCAGTTGACCACTAGGAAACAGTGAGAATTCATTGTTACTATCCCTGTTTAGTTCAACACCCACAGTATTAAGATGGTTATTGAGACAGATGAGGCATACATGAGACCAGGAACACCTTTCGCAGTAGGCTGCAAGTCCTTGTTGGATAATAAAGTGTGCTTATTATCTTCATGTAGAAGATCAACATGCACTATGAATGGAGCACAGTAAACTTTTGTCTGTCTTGTTTTGAAGCTGCTCTAAGTGTTAGCTCTTGGTTGTTTTGGTGAGTTTACTTGCTCATTAGATAAACACTTAGATTTGTGCTTGCTGCTTTTTTTTTTTCTTAAGTTAGACTAGTCGTCTGAAAGCAGTAATCATTTGAAAGACATTTAGGTTGTACAAAAAGTAATTCTCTATGTTCTTCTATGCCATTGGGACGTTACAGTGACAAAAATAAGTTTAAGACACATTATTTCCTTTATTTTTTAATAAATTCTTAGTTTTAAATTACACATTTATTTTCGTCTTTGTTTTGATAGTAATGGGTTCTAAGCAGTAAGCTGGTTGCTTTGGAATAAAATGTCACTTCAGACATCTTTATTTTTGGAATCTGTTCCTACATAGTCTTTACAAAAAAACTTTTCATAACAGGCAAGTGAGACATCTTTATTTTTGGAATCTATTCCTACATAGTCTTTACAAAAAGCTTTTCATAACAGGCAAGTATGGATAGGTGAAAAATACGTTGATTAATTTTTGTCTGATAGAACTGTAATGGAGATCAGAAATTGTGTCAAAGATCAGTATGCAAAGAAGCTAGGATTCTTAAACCTGTTTGAAAGAGTGAGCTTACTAGCCTGTAAGAATTAAAATTCTTAGGCTTTCTTTGAGAACAAATATCATTTAGAGCAAACAATTACGCGGTAGAAGCTAGAAGCTGATGGCATTAACCTATTCAAAGTATTGTGTATGCCTCTTAAGTGCACACCCAAACAACCAAAAGGTATAGCATAATATAGCAAATTAGAGCAGAAGAGAAATGGAGAGTTGTTTTTTTTTTCAATTGACTTGGGTATATAGTTGCTTTTTAATGAGGCCAAGTTATAGAGAACACTTTTTGAAATTAATGTCATGAAGTGTTTATTCAGTTCGGTAATAATAAATGAGTCTTTCCATTTACAGGGTATAATTACAGTAACATTTGAAGTTCCAGGAAATATAAAAGAAGAGAACTTAAATCTCTTTATTCAGGTAAGTAATACATCGCTGTCAACTGAAAAATCATTGTGGCTTTTTAGAGAAAATCATCCCATGCCATTCTGTTTATGAAAACATTTTTCCTTTTAACAGAATCTTCTGTGGGAGAAGAATGTGAAAGATAAGACTGGGCGCACCATGGACGTCATAAGACTGAAGGTTAGTCAGAAATTGCCAACTTCTTTGTTTTGTGCTTTTCCTCTTTGACACCTGAAAAACTGCATTGTGCTGTCAGTTACAGACCTATCGAAGGCCCTCCTGGATCACTGTAGTGGCACATATAAAATGGAGAATATCGATTTGTCATTGCTCCTTGTAGAGACAGTTTGTTCTCTGCTGGCTGGTAGAACAACTCAAAAGGAGAGAGCTGACTGAAAAGCAAACATTGATCCTACTTGTTTGAATTGAGAAGGACAATGTACAATCCCAAACATCAGTGGCAGAGTTAATAATCAGGACATAGTTAAATCACTTTTTAATTTTTCAGCTCCATTGCTTTGAAAGGTTCCATCCATCTCACATAAATGTCTCCTTATCTAGGGACTGGATACCATAGATTGGATACTGTAGATTGCTGTCTGTAATTATAATTGTTGGCATAATATGCAGAAGTTGAATTTGGCATAACATAGCAGTGCAGTACTAGTTGTGGTCTAGGCTCACAACTTTTTACAGTATTGTCAGACTGTAGTTTTAAACATTTTAAAGTATTCATCTTCATGGGCACTTCATATGTTTTTCAGTTGCATGGTTTTGAGGGGAGTATAGGTGACAATTTAGGATATATTTTCATTTTCCTTGTACCAAGCAGCCAAGTAAATCAGAAGAAGTAAGAATCAAGTCTGTCATTTGGTAGGCTGTAAGAAATAGAAGATAGGCTCTGATTTGTTTTCTGAGAATACTTGTGCGTCATGGATAGTGACATAATTATTTTAATTTCATTGGAAGAAAGGTTATATTCTTGCTCTTTCAGCAACAGAACGAGAATATTCTTGTCTTCCCCTTTCTGACAAATAGAAGAAAGTAGCTACTGATGCATCTTAAACTGTCTGAAAACAGTGCTGCTATGCACAAGTATATTTTTGTTGTATTGAGCATTGGAATCAAAGTAATTATTTAGGAGATCTGAGGCCTGTGATAACCTGTGTGCTGGCCCTCAGTCACAAGTACACCAACGCAAATGAACCCTAGGTAATTACAGAATAGGTTCCGAAGTTTGTTGCTTTGTATTTTACCTGCAGTCATAGTCCTTTCGGCAGTAATAGTCATAGAATTCCAACTAATATGTAAAATGCAGACCCTTTTTCATAAAATATTTTTAACTCTTTTTTTTTTTTTTCTTTAGGGAAGTGTAAGATGTGTTTTACAGAATGTATTCCGCTAAAATATTTTATAAAGTTTTACATGAAGTGTTGCAAACTCTTTTAATACAACTTTTGGTATGTGGGTTAATGGCTTCACTCTGACAGTCATCCCTTCTAATTCTGTTGCTAGCCATTTTACTTCACAAATGTTTGTTCGTTCTCCAACATTCAAAGATTCTGTTTTAGAATAGTGAATATGCTGAGCATGAGAACTTAATCAGAACAATATGAAATCAAACATTTTTGCTTATTTTACATCATCTTTGGTGGCAATCAATCTTTCATGGACTCATATGTCATGCACCATATATATATATTCAAAGTGGCATAATAGCTGATGATGTTTTGTTTTTGCTGGAACGTGCTAGATGCTGACCAAATGAGGAACAGAAGGCAGAGTATGACATGTAATTATTAGTCTGTAACAAAATAAGGAGATGTGAGAATGGATGTTACGAGTAGAAGTGACCATACTACATGGTTATTTTGACTAACTGCTGGATGGTTGCCAGAAATATTTTTTTCCCTGCTTGGCCTAGTTTCAAAGTTTGTTTTTTTGTTTCCTTCGCCCCCCCCCCTTCATTTTAAAAGGTTTGTTTCTATATCCTAACAGTTATTTTTCTGATAAGGGACTGGTATCTATTCAAGGCAAATCTCATCATGTGATAGTCCAAGGTGTCCATGAGCTCTATGATCTGGAAGAGACTGCAGTAGCCTGGAAAGAAGATGAAAAGAGAACAAATAGACTCGTCCTAATAGGTAAGATGAAATTACGTATCTCCTTGTTCAACTTTAAGAAGCTGTTCTTTCAGCAGGCAGTCCTGTGACTTGTCCAGTGAAAGCAACCGACCTAAACTGGCCAGAATAATAGTGAGTATCATCAGCATAACCTTTAGTCAAAGGTTTATCCATCAAGACCTCCTGCCGTTTTGTATTCCAGCTGAGAGGAATCTACACTATCCCTTTTAGTAGCATTAAAATATAACAAAATACTAAGTATTCATAAATTATATTGGCATATTTAATGTTATTTTAAAAATCCATAGTTATAAATATGAGATGGGGATTGTTTGAATGTTTGATCAAATATTCATTAACGGTAAGGAAGATCATTATAGCCATTAAAATGTATAAAATCTGTTCTGTTTCTGAAAAGCTTGTAATTCTGTGGTGGTACATTTCTACTTCCTCCTTGTTACACTCTGTTCTGCAAAGTGTTTTTATGACCAAAAAACTGCCAGTTTTTCCTCCTTTCCTTTACTTGTACAGCTTGAAGTTTGTTGTTACGTGTAAAATCTAAAGTTATCTTGTTACGTGCAGCTTGATTTTAATACTGTTGTTTTTCCTCCTTGGTATAATAAACATCTCCTTTGCTGAGAAGACTGGCAGGGTGCTACTTGTGTGCATTTTTTGCAATACACTGTAAAATATAGGTAGCTAATTTATTTCTCTTTACAGGCAGGAACTTGGATAAGGAGACCATCAAGGAAGTATTCATAGCCACTGTGAGAGAGAAACAAGGAACAGTTGACATTAAACTACAAAAAAGATGAAATGTCTGCACTTAAGCCTGCAAGCTTTTTATGGTAGAAAAGATTGAATGACATGCAGTATAGGGGTTTCTTTTTCCTCTTGCCATTTACACAACAGTTAAACCCTGAAGTCCTCGTAAGAATCCCAGCTGACCTGCTGCTTAAAGATTCGCTCTTATGGTCTAGAATCAAACAGTTCTACTGTTTTGGATTTGGCTTAAGTTATGTTGGTAACATCATGTACCTGTGCAGAAATGCAGACAGGCAAAAGGCTGTTGTTTATGCTGTACATGAAGTATTACAGTAGGAATATGGTAAACGTGTTTGAAGCGTAGGGCCTGAAAGGTAACTCTCTTTTACTGCTGGAAATGAAGCAACGGTGATTATTGCCAGTGATGTAATCAGAGTAAAAAGTTATTTAGTGTTTACTATTAAACTGTCTTCCATCTCTTTCCATTTGTTTTGTGGTTGTTGAATGTGTACATCCATCCCAGGTACCACTAAACCTGTTCTATAAATGAAACTAAAAATACATAGATAGCAGAGGCTCAAGACCACATGGAATATAGACTATCTGCGTAATAGCTATGAATGCAGCGTTCGGTTACATAGCCAAAGTGTTGAAAGGTGTAGCTGACCTCATAGATCTTCTAGGCCATGATCCTGCCAGTTCAGGATTTAGGGGACCAGAGGCAGCACATTTTCATTGTGTTGTCCAGGCTGCCCTGTGTGATTTGTTATGGGGTTCTCTGACCCAGCTTTTGGGTGCTATTTTCAAAACTTAGTTTGGAGCTGTCATCTCTGTACTCATTACTTTTATAATTTAGAGTTGAACTTCTTGCCCTCTACTTTCTCTGGAGGTCATCGTTCACCTCTTAGCATCAGAGGGATATGTTGACTACAGCTGGGTGAATGCAAGAAGATAAGGTGGAATTAAAAATGTTTCAAAAAATAATTGTAGGACAGGAAGCAGATATTCTGAAGAATGGACTCTTAGCTACAGTGTTACATTGATGCTTGTTGATGTGCCTGGATAAGTAGAAATTTGTTTTTAGTACTAGTGGTATGTTACTTGTCACATAGCTAACATTTGCTTTAGGATAAAAGGTGCATCAAACTAAAAAAAAAAAAAAAAAAAAGGGAATGGCCCTTTTTTTTTTTTCTTTTATCGGCAGTCTTACAAAATTTCATTTTGCTTCTACTAAAATAAATCAGTTTGGAGTTTGTTTCCAAAGAGCTGAGGAAGGAGACATTGTTAATCTTTCACTGCCAGGAGCTGATGTCTTCTTTGATTAATAGCTGAAGTCATGCGTCCAATAAGAGAGAGCTCTTCAGTCTCCCAGTGGATACATATAGGCAGACATGACTTCAGTCCTCACATAAGTAGTTTTAGATAGCTTGAAGACATTTGCAGAGATGAACTATTTCTGTAAACTGAAGCAAGGTAAAAAGAAAGAACAATCTACTTACAATGTTACTTTCTGTTTGGCACAGCATTGGTGGCATTTGAGAGAGATCGGTACATTGTTGAGTGACATTGACAGTTTCCCTTAGCAATTGCAATTGCAATTCTTCATTTTGAAAACTGATACATATTCTCACACTGGTATATGTTTTGGATTGCATAAATGACACTTAGTCCTGCATGAAAATTAGTCAAATTATTGCCATCAGTGTTAGAGACTGAGTTATAAGCATCATGTAAATGCAAAATTGTGGATAATACATTTCTGTTTGTTGCTGCTTATACTTCCATTTGTTATAGAGAAAGCGATCAAATATCTTCTATCTTATAAATGCCTCATGTAATTGAAGAAGTCTGTTATCTTTAGAAACATTGATTGCTGAAGTGCCCAACTGATCATTCATTTTCCATCTGAAAAAAAAGTTCAGAGATTTCATGAGAAGAGCTTCAACCATGTGTCATGAGGGAACAAGCCATGGATGGCTTACACACTTACTGTCGTATTTTTAGATGCTTGTTTTTCATATTTCTTCACCAACTGCATACTCCAAAATTCCCATGCTGACTGGGTTTTTTTTGTTGCTGTAATGGGGCATCTCTGCAGCTGGGAATCTTCTGTATAGCTCATCTTGGTATTACTCGTTCTTCCTCTGTAGTACTTTCCCTGCACTGCTCTCAGTGATAGTGTCAGAGACGCTTTAGTCAGTGTGCACAACTTTGTCTCTCCATGGCTCCTGTAAACTGCCTGCATATTTCCAGGGAGCCCCTGGGATGGGGAGCAGGCAGCTCCTGGGCAGCGTGGGAGTATGCACCTCTCCATCCTTGTTGGCTGTCAGGATGCCCACTCTGCCTTGTCCCCTATTCTGCTTACACATAACGACACTGGTAACACCGCCAAGGGCCGGCCCTTTATCCTATTCTCATAAGAAGATTGCTGTTTTCTTTTCTTGGATATTTATTTAACTGACTTTTCCTGGTCTGTTCTTGTATGTCCAGCCTGGTGTACTAGGCCTTGTTTTTTGCATCATGCCAGAAAGAAATGAGGAAGAAAGGTAACTGTCAGAGCGGCAGTAAAAGCTGCCCCTAGTGAACTGATTGCTGGATGCTTTTGGTATTGATGTTACTGGCAGTTGTAGCAAGGATGGCCTTCTCCAAGGAACTCGAACTGGGTTAAAGTGAAGTTGTGCCAGAGGCTGGAGGGAGCAGACAGGCACCACTGAGCCCTGTCCTGGGGTGGCGGTGGTGTGGATGGTGGAGTGGCCACGGGCTGCTCGAGGGGGGCAAAGAGGGGTCTGGCAAGGAAAAGCGTTGGTATTTCTCCCTATACAGGCCCTAAGAGGGGCACATTGGGGAGCGAGCGGCACCTTCTCAAGAGGAGATGGTGGCTGTCATGGCTGTGGGGCACCCATCCACATCTGGGCCTGCTTCCAAACCAAAATAACTCCCAGGATAACGCTTCGCTCCCCTGTGCCAAGACACACTAAGCACTAGGTATAGGCTTGGTGCTGATCCTGCAACAAAACCCACGCATTTTCTTCCCTAGCAGAGGCAGAGGAGTTTCTTTCCTAGAGGCAAACTGCAATGGTTTGGTCACCTCTGCACCCTCATGAGCATCAAACGTCTACAGAAATCACATTCCGAAGCCAGCATTTTCTCCTCTGTATCCTGCTTTCCACATACTTTTATAGGCTCTGTTAAACTTGAAAATAAACAACAGAAATGATCTCCTTGTACTACCAATTGTGCGATTTGTTTATATCACCAGTGATGTTTAATTTTCAGGAATTACCCAGGGAGATGGATGAGGTTTAATTTTTCTGGTTTATTATGCCCTTTAAGCAGTTCTGAATTTGCCAGATTTTCACTAGGTTCTTATTTTCTAATAGTCTAACGACCCCCCTCCCCACCCTCCCACCACTGGAGCAAGTTGTCATCCATGTCCCATCCCCTGCAGGCAGGATGTGGCTGGGGGGGGCAGGGGACAGGACAGGTCAGGCTGGGGTCCCAGCTGCCCGGTGTCCCCATGAGCCACCTCGCTTCTCCACTGCCCTCATCAGCCCGGCCACCCTGCAGAGCCCACAGCATCGTCATCTGCGCATCCACCCCAGGCACTTCCCTTCCCGGCCCTATAGCGGTGTCTGTTGTTTCTTCTTCCTCCCTCTCAGATCCAACCGAGCATCGTTTTTGTATGTTTGCTACCACGCTTTGCTCTTCTTTCACTGCTCTGCACATCCACATTGCATCCCAATTTACTGTATATATTTACAAATCCTAGATAACCATGCATTTGTTCTCTTTTTTTACCCTTAAACCCAGTTTTACCCAGGTGCAGGTCTACATTATTTTAACTGACCATGGGTGAATTGTTTATAGCAGTGGGGTCCCAGTGCTAAGCCTGTGCCCCATCTTTTATCACCCCATGCCTGTACTCTACACCACATCCTTGTCTCCACTTCTCAAGGCCCCTGATACTTTATCAGGCATGTGTTTCTTTATGCTGCAGCATTATGTTACAGCCATAAATACCTCATTCTTCACAGAATGGCGACTTGTTACTGCCAGCTGTAAAAAACTACGGTTGTAACATACAAGGACAAAAAAAATAAATTAGCAATAGACACCTGGTCAGTTAGAGAAACTGCTGTCACAGGTAAATGAGATAACACAAAGCTGTGGGCAGGTCAGGAAAAGATCGACCAGACCAAGTGTGGCAAAGCTCAGCCCTGTGGCCCTGCACACTCGGTACAAAGCTGATGGCCTGCTACTGGTGGTGGCAATTCCATCCTGCAGGATGACGTGGTTATCTTCCCATCCCAATGCCCTGCATGTGGTCCTTCCATTCTTCCAGCCAGGGACACGTGGGCAAACGGAGCAAAGACGAAGTCCAGGTCTGGTTAGGGCCAGCGGCTTCACAGAGGCAGCCCGCTCGAGGCGTCAGGGCTCCAGTGCACCTTGGTCGCAGTCCTGCATCCAGGCATACCCATGGAAATTTTGGGAAAAGAACTGAGCTGTAACAGATCAAGCATCAAGCAGTCTAGGGCGTGAATTGCTTGTTAAGAGATGAGTAAAACACTTGCCACTTGTGTTTACTGACAAATATTGGTCTAAAGTGTAGTTTTATTGCACTGCTTCCAGTCTTTGAGCATAATGGAGAGTCTGTGATCTTACTGTCCTCACTTAGGTAGTCTGAAATATCTACTAGTGTCACATTGATTTAACGGGATTTCAATCTGTTGCATCTGCTTCGGTGTCATAATTTCAATCTGTTCATCTACAAGCACAGTTAGTTTGTTAATTGGTTTCTTTATTTATCTGTACTATTCTTGTTTGAAACTTCTTTTTAATAGGATTGAGCAGCTAATAATGAATTTTATACTCTTAAATCCCTAAGATAATGGTATTTTTATGATTTCATTTTCAGTTAAATGTAACAGGAAAGACTACAGTTCTCTGTTTTGTCCAGTGCAGAAGTTTGTTTTCATTCACAATATGTTGCTCAGAATCACAGCATGGAATCTTTCCTTATGGACAATTTTTTTTTAAAAAAACCCAACAC